TTCAATTAGCCTGTGTTCAGACACGGAAAATTGCATGTAATTTGTGATTTCTTTAATTTTACTTTACTCTATTGACCTTATTTGTGCTAGAATAGGGAGGGTGGAAATGTAAGGCTTAAAGGCTACCATATCATAAAAATACCAAAACAAATGAATGCATCTGGATGGGCTCAGAATTTATACTAGTGCATTAACCTCCCTGACTGTCATGCATACAAAACATTTTGCATGTTTCCAAAGCAGCCTGTATCAGCTTAATGAGGAGGCTGTACAACYACTGAAAGAAATTTCAGGTGGCCTTGAAATCAAGCCTTGGATTGAAAAAACAACCACAGTTCCCAGGCTCAGAAGGTCAATAACACAGCTCCAGGGATACAGCCCTGCCAGAGATCAACAACTAGGATCCCTCCTGCACAGAATGCAAGGAAATGGTGTCAGTGCACAGCTCAGATGGATGCTGCCACTTGGAAATCCAGCTCTAGAACTCACCTCATCTGCCATGCAAAGCACAATGGCAGCTACCCTGATTGACAGTGTTACATTGAAGAGACAAATTTCCTTTGGAAACTAYATCACCTATGGTTTCAATGACATGAGCATTAATTTGTATGAGGCACTATCAGACAAACATTACTTTTTAGGGGCTAAAAGTAGAACAACGTTGAATCAATGAAAGGGAAAAAACATTACTAAGTTTACACTCAGACATTACCTATCAACTAGCTATCAACTCTTTGATAATTAATACTGATACCACTAGAGGATTAGTTTTATAATATTATCTCAGTTAACAATCTTTCTAATTTCTCAGCCACTTGTTTATTTTGGAAATTACAGAGGAGTAATTTTACTAGTTCTGGTCAGGTTTGCAAATGTTTTTTGAAAAGCATTTCACCAACATATTTTCAACTTAGGAGACCAAAGAGGACATTTGCAAGTCACCTGCTAATCAAGTACTAGCCTTACCCCATGGTTTTAGAATTGCATCCTAGTAAGTCATCACTAGAAATGCAAGAGAAGCCAATTTCATACTTTGATTTTGTCAACTCCAGGAGTAAAGGATTACTCTTAAGAAAGGGACTAAAGCAGTCAGAGCCAGACTGAGCCAAGCTGACAGTCTGGCAGCAGTAACAGTGTCCTGGCAGCAGYCTGAGCTAGATTCAGGCAAACCTAGATTCAGCCTAAGTTCAATAGTACCCTGGTGATTTATGGAAAGCACTGGTTTGACTTTCTACCCCAAAACTCAAAACTATTTTATAAAAAGAGCAGTGTTTTGATCCCCAGCTTCCCAAACTAGCAACAAGACTCCCAACACTGATTAAAAAAATAGGAATCAGACAAATCTGCCAGTATCACAACCAGCACTCCCAGAGGTGCTGGCCTCTGCTGCTTGCACAAATGTAGTTTACCTCTTTAACCAATGCAGTGTTGCTCCCATGCCCTGCAGAATTCCTGCAGGAGGGGAGAAGAGAGATCAGAGGGTGTTCATAGATGCAAAAGACTGCATACTTCCATTCTGGCTCCACTTCTCCAAGCAGAGGTATCCATGAAAGGTCTTCAGTTATTGCAAATCTATTTTCCAAGTTAGTGAAAAGATGCAAGTTTATGCGAGTTAACAATGTAGAACCTCAGGGTTAGGGTTGGAGAGAAACAAAATGTTAAATTAAAAAAAGATGATTTCCACAGTGGCGATACCTGGGAATTTTTGGGCTGCTGGCTTTAATAGAGACCTGAAAGTTCAAACTTTCCAGACTCAGGAGGGTATGGATTAGCTCAGCTGACCTTAAAWGCAGAGAAGAAAACAAACCAAAAAGATAGGCTGATGAATGTGGCAAGGTAAAGAAGTAGTTACAGTTAGGAGAAACAGAGGGAGCAAAGAAATAAATACTGGTATTTAGTTTCTTCCACAGTGCCATGCCCTGACTTTTCTTATTTTAAAAGCAAAAAGAAGCAGGTACTCTTGACCTTTATTTCCTGCATCTCTCTTTGCTGTCTGCAAAAATAATTGCTATTTCCAGCATCTGCCTTAGGAAACCAGAAAGGTCTTTATTCTAAGAAAGATGTAATAGAGAAAGAAGTATTATTTTTGTATGTGCAATGTTCAGATGAAGGATTTGGTATGTACTAGCAACACTTGAGCAGATTTGAGCATACAAATAGTTAGAAATAGGAGTTATTGCATTCCCCATGTGTTTAAGTTAGGCCCTTGCCTTTTCCATGTTTTGGCTTTTTTCCGTGTTTTGGCTTTTTTCTCACTGCCACAAAACCTACACCATCATGGAGCAATGTGGTGAGGTCTSACCCCTTCTCTCTCACTGGGTTAAATGTAGGTATTTGGAAGTTTCTGCTCCTAGGAGAAAAGAAAGGTGGATCTTAGGGAAGTCYCCACATTTGGAGTGAGCCACTGCAGCTTCTGAAGTTCCACTGTGGAGATGGAAAACATAAAAACATGGTTGCCCTACAGAACTACTAGGTGAAATTTTAGAAACATTAACAAATCCTTATCATGTATCTTCTCTCGCCTGAATACGCAGGTAAGTCCTCCCCTCTCCTAAGACTCTCCCTTTGTTCCTTTCTGCRCCATATAATGTACTTGGGCTTATAATAAGGTTTTCACATCCAGCAATCTAATTTGTGTGAAATTTGATCATTTGTAGCYTCTTACTGACTCAAAGAGCAGCAGTATAAACAGAGGACAAGAAACTTACAAAAACATCCATGGCAAAAAGGCAGAATAAAAGTTCAAGTGACAAGTGAAAAGTGAACAGGAAAGCCAGACCAGCATCAGAAGAGACCTCTTCAGGATTTGCAGTGACACAAATGAACGTGGGAAAGGAGGCAGCGTCTGGCAAGTGTTGCTCTACATTTACACAACAGCATGACAGTCTGAAAGCAACTTCATTTTAAAGAAAATMTTACACACTGACTTGACAAAGTAGCCTATAAACTCAAGCTTTCTTATTCTGAAAGAAGTTGCTTGAAGCATGCCTTTAAGGGTTTGTAAGAAGTGACTGTACATTTCTTGCAGCCAGACTCCATGGATTGTTGGCTAATAAGAACCACAGCACCATTTAAACCTTCTTATAATTTCTGGTAACTTCCTTCCATCTGCCATATTTCTTTTAATTGTTCACTTATTGAATACAAGTTTCTAAACAGCACAGACCCAATCCAGACCTACAGGATCACTTTAGAAGTGAAATTAGATTTGCTACCAGCAAAACAAACCACTAGAAGTATTATTTCCAGCAGAAAACAAAATTAGGCAGTCTTAAAAATAGAGGTGGATAAAGTCCAAATACAAGTCTATGCAGCTATCTCATAATCAATGTTTTTCAGTAATACAGCAGAGAATAATGGTCTTTTCTAAAGCTTCTTAAAGGGCCTGCAAGTTACTGCAACAGCAGTCATGCTTACCTTGAAACCTACTGCCTTTGACTGTGTTAACAGATGTTCAGAATACCTGAGTGTACATCAATTTAATTCAAATCCATATTCAATCCAGTTGTAGCAACAGGGTTTCCGCAATGTCAACCTGGCCATCAAGTCTACTATGAATCCAAACACCTACTTTTCTTTATCTGTTTCTGCGTAATAAATACTCAAACCATCACAAACCAATAGAAACTGATATCAAAGGCTACACCTCAAGCAAAACAACGTAACTTCAATTAACTTTTGCAGTGAGTATAAGCTGTTTGAATTGACTCTCTGTAATATGAAAAGCATCTTCTGTAACTCACTACACAYGCTGATGAACATCCAAGGTTCACTCTCACCCTGGCCCTAGGATTAAGATTGTATTTTGAGAAGTCTTATGGTGACAGGAAGCTGTAGTTTTACAGCAAAGTTACAACAGATTTGCTGTGGACATGCATAAGAAAAAAATGAGACAAACCAAACAAACAACATATAACAATCCAAACCAAACAACTCCAATTCCAAAATAAAAATTAGACATATATTAAGGCTGTACAATTAATCGCAGAAGTAAAATGAAAACACTTTTGAAAGCACACTTAACTTTGCTGCTTCACACATTCAATACTGGTTTTGGCTCAGATTATAAACACTGGATTAATAAAGATGAGCAAATTTCTAGCTTAGCATTAAGCATTTAAGCTTTTGAGATACACATCTTCTGAAGGATAATTTTCAATTCTTCATGATATGACATGCAATCAAAATTAACTCTGTGTATTTACACCCATCATTTTAAAGAATGTTCTAATGCTAGCACACTTGGAATTAAAGCCTTTCAGTAAATACAGGAAGAAGTAACACAAGAGTTTTGCAGATGGGTTTTATGGCTTCTTTCTAGGCTTAAAGTTTTGATTAAAACCAATTTGTGACACAAAGTACCACATGTAGCTGCTGGGAAAAGCAAAGAGATAATTTAAATAGTTGTCAGTATGCTCATCTTTGAGTATTGCCAAATTTTCAAAAGCCTAGTTCTACCAAATTATACTATTCATACTTGAAAATTACATGAATGCATGAAAATTTTGCTTTGAAATAAATTTTGACCAATGTTTCAAATCACAGATTGCAAGGTATCTTAAATGCTGATATGGTCAGCATTTTTCTACATCTTCTTGGTGATAACTTTGAAAAAAAGTTTCAGGTCTTGAACTTTGGTCTCAAATACATAAAACATATGATTTAGAAATCTCTTAAATTCAAAGGTCCTATGTGCTTAAGGAAATATTTAGAGGAGGTGTGACTTTTTCCTTAAAAAGCTTTCATTTCAAAAAAGTTATTTTTAAACAGAACCATTACTAAAGGAAAATGGATGATATCAGATTTTACTTTCCTAAGAGTTGTATCAGTTTTTCAACTTCTGTATTAGTATTCATGTATGCAAGTATAATGCAATTCATATGCGAAATGCAGAAATTAATACATTTTCAACTGACTCATTTTGGAGGCAAATCAGCATTAATTAAACAAGTTAATGTGTGAAAGGCTAGATAAAAGTTGCACCTTATAAAACCAAAGCAGATGTTTTAACTTATAGTTTTAATATAGCAATCAAAGAAAATTCCAAATACTGTACAGTGAAGTGTAGTATAGTACACTATATACTGTTATAATACACTATTGTTACATTACAGATAAAAAAAATCAAATATAATTAGTACAGCAATCACAAATAAAACAAACCAAACCTTGCTGGATAACAGCCAGTACTGTGAAGATGGTATMGTTTCTATGCTAATTTATTTTTAATTCAACATGTAAAGCACTTACTTTTTAAAAAGATTTTTCCTAAATATATACACTATTTTAATTCCTATTTATACATTTTAAATAGCATTCCCTCCTAAAAGTGCACTCTTTCATTTCTTGGCAATATTCCTCATCAAACATAAAATAATTCTGAAAATACCACTCTTGTTTCAATCTTTTATTGCTCAACCACAGGCATAAGGGCTCAGAGGGAATCCTGCATTCTAAAGATCTTAAGCAACTTTTTCATGAAGCTAAACTGATACCCACAAACAAAACAAGAAACCACTCTCTGTTGTGGCTTTTTTAACAAAAGGATCAACTTCATATTCATATTATTATTATTTTACAAAAGCATGTAGATTCTGGTATTTAAAAATAGGAGCCAAACAAATGTAGAGATAATAGTGGCATCTTCTTAAATCATTCATTTTCATACAATTCAGATCAAGCATCACTCTCCCAACTGTAAACATACCAAGAATTTTGTTACTTGGCATTTTCAGCGCATTGAAAAAGTAGCAAGCAACTCTCCTAACCTTGTGACAGTGACAACATATTCTACTTTATGAAAGATTGTAAATTAAGTATTTTGGCCTCTCAGGGTTGTTTGCAAACAGCCCTGTGGCACTGTGCCTCTGTGACACTGCTAGGGCACTCTGTCAGAAGCAACGTCTAGCTCGTATTTTGCAGCCAGCACAAGACTAGTAAACTATATGGGATTCACAAAGCCAACAAAGCACACGGCTGTTTTGTGACTACAACAGGGAAGACATCCCAAATACATTTCTTTGATTTCACTTGAAAATATGCTATTTATTTTCCCTCACTGAAATGCAAACAATTCAGAGAGAAACAGCACTATCAGAAAGTCATCCTTACTAAGCAGCCAGCCATTTGAAGTAGTAAAAGTCTGCATTTCCCTGGAAAACTGATCTGCTCTCTCGAGGTTTCCCATATGTTCATCAGGAATCTAGTTCATTTCCCTTTTTATTTTTGTACTAGGCCTGTATTTTTAGTAATAATCTTTTCTTTGGGTTATGCACACTAAGCCATAGTAGAATTTAGGATTTTCTAATAAGGTGTCTTCTTTGCCATGGATACAGTGTAGAAGATGGCTGGCCTTCAGAAAAGAAAGTAATCAAGGTGGGTACTCAAAACCACAGCCTCTTTCCACAGACAATTTGGTAGCAAGAATTAGGATTGGTAGCTTTTACTTTTTGAGAAAAGGACACCCTTCTTGACATTTGAGAAGTCCAACTGACACGTCTTCTCATACACAATGAACCAAAATATTCCCTGCCCTTGTACCCCACCAGCATTTTCCTGACTGACAGGGAATTTTAACAAGCACACTGGTGCTCCTTAGACAGGCACACAGATTTGTCTCAACTTGCAGTTGCACCCACTGCCAGCAACCAAATGAAACATCTGTTCCAACTTACACGTTGGTGTTATTTCACTTCTCCTGCACAGTCACACATCGCACTGGCATGTAGATGAAGTTCAGCTTCACTTGAGAGTAGCAAAAGCTATCTATCTTTCTCAAACCACTGATATTAAATGCAGGAGAAAGCTACATGAAATAAGAACACTGCAAAGATATATGCACAATCCTGCTTTCCGATCTTCACACCAGGGGATCTTGTGATTGACACCATTTTACCAGTCCTTTGAGACCATCTTCTTTTAGGAACTGGAGGGTTCTGATCTACACGACTTGAGTGGGCCCAAGATGACATTAATGGTGAGTCAAACAGAGCTATTATCTGTTTCTATTTCTATTTAGATAAGAAGGAAAATGTCAAATTACTGCTGAAATGGGAAGCATGTCAAAACCAAACCAAGTCTTCCTCTTTACGCAGTACAAGGCACACCAACTTCTGCAGTCTTACCAGAAAGGCATGAAAGAAGTAAGCATTTTTCTTGAAATAAGAATGATGTGCAATAAATATTTCAGTTTATTTCAAACTTAAAATTCTCTCATATGCACTGCTTGCTCATTATTTTTCCAGCCAAGGAAGACTTTTTTCCCTATAGAAAGGTTAAAATTGTCAAAGCAATGGTTACCTGGTGTAAAATGCAAGAGATCCAGGAGATTCCTCCCCCTCATCCTCTTCTGATTTAAACTCTTTCCCAGGAACATGCCACTGCTATACTTTTCTAACACTGTGACAAAGCACAAGCCTCTACTCAACATTTTCTATACAGATGTAGCCTTCAGCCAGCTAGACTGATTCATGGGAGACTAAATGTTTTCAGAAGTCATGGCAGGCTTCCAGCTGCTGCATGTGCATCCTGTTTCTCATTGAATAAGCCCTGCCAGTTAATCAGTGCATCAGCAAGGTCAGTTCTGGCAAGCCAATTACTTCATACATTCCAAGTTTCCAAATTGCTAACTTACCGGGTAGCAATTTGAGATCTTAACATTTTTCATTTGTTTGTGAGAATGTGATATTTATAATTTATCTCTAGGTAGTGTATGAAATCATAAAATATTTGTACCATCTACATAAAAAGTTAACCAACAGAGGCATTTTAATTTACTTTGACAAAAGAGAAGGGCTATTCTTTAAGTGACTTGCTTCATTTCAGTTCTACATACAAAAATAAATCCTTCCTCAWGGGACATTTTATCATACTAACGCTTAGAACTGTTTAAGTGATTAGAAATGTAAAAAGTAAGGAGACTTTTATCAATACAAACACATACAACACAAACCACATTTGTGAACTGGTAAAAACCTACATGTGCACAAACACAGACTTCAGTATTTAAATGCTCTTAATTCCTTTGAAGCTGTATTAACATCTTGTCATCCATTCAGTGTTATTTTATCATGAGRAGAAGCAACAATAGTGCATTTAAATGACTATGAAGATAGGAAGCAAAGTGCAGTATCAGAAACACATTCCATCCTTAGGGAGCAAGCTCAATGGCTGCCTCTTAAAAACTAGCACTACAGGTCTGATGAACACACTACTTAAGTGGATACCAGCTCTATTATCACTGATGCAGGGAAATCTGCATCACAAACTGAAGTGAGCCTGAGAGAGGCGGGTAGTCTTTATAGACACTGAAACAGCATGTATTCCTTGTTCCCACAGAGTAAACAGTGAGCTTCTAAAAGCTCAATTATCACCATACACTTTAGGATAATGTGTGTTAGAAAGTCATTTCCTTCCAATAAATTGTTGATTTGCTCTTAAGAGGATAGCTGTTATTTCATTTTTTGCCATTTCTAACCAATGCTAGCAATCAAAGTCTTCTAAAAGAAATGGATTTGCCATCGAACATTTGTTCTTACTTGCAATTACCAACTTCTCTCCCTTAATTGTCTCAAAAGTTGCACAACCACCTGACCAGTTTGGTATTTGCGAGGAAATAAAGACATGCTACTAACAGAGCACCAAAATGGTTGTGTTGGCTCAGACAGCCATGCATAACCACACCACATTGAATGTATTTTCATCATATGCTAAGTGGCCTTTTTTTCTAGCTTGCTTAAACTGACAACAGAACTTAAAGTTTACTAAAGTTAAACTTACTCCAAGATTTCTGAGAGGAGGATATGAATAAAAAAGTTATTAAATTGGAGAAGTGCCAGCACAATGTAATTAAAAGTACTCTATATGTGCTGCATTATCAAATTGAGCAGAAGTTTAGTTTCAGTTATTTTTAGAAATTTATGTCTAATTTATGTTTACAGCGTATTTTTATTGGAATTAAGTAACTGGGGCAGTATTAATTTTGCAATGTTTCTAGTTTTGCCTGTTCTAGCCCTTCCACTAACCTTAAGCTAGCATGGTAAGAACCTTGCATGGGCTTAAATTTTAAGACTTCTAAGAAATTGAAAATTATGAAGAATTTTCAAGAACCCACATGTACAGCAGATATTCATCTCAGTGCATTTCCTAAYAACTAATTTACAGGTAACAGAGCCAGCCTGGGCAGCAGTATGGTAATATTGAAAGCTATTGCCAATCACACGCTTATCATGCACTGAATAAGATGATATAATCTTTGACATACATACAAGATTTAATAACTAATCACTTTGTGTGGCCCAGCCAATAAACATTACATTTGARCAGTAATTTCTTCTACCCTTATTAGATTTTAACCTATCAAGAGTGATCCATTGGCTCAGTTGCATTAGTGATTCCTGCATCTTGACTATCCATCTCCTCAAGCTCCTCAACAGAATTTCCCTTTTGTGCTTTAGACCTTGCAGGGAATGTTGTTCCCACAGAATTCACCATGTTACCATCAGTTGATTCAGTATTCAAGTGTTCAGTACCACCTGGTGCAGAAAACGATTCAGGTAAGGCAGCTTGAAAGCTCCCAGTTTTAGCAGTTGAACTCACTGCCTCTACTTTTCTTTGAGATACATCAACTGATGCTGACTGCTCTGTATTCTGATCCCGCAAATGTCTATCCATTGAAGCCTGAATAGAAGAGACCATTTCCTGCAACTTTTTTCTCTGTGCCTCAATCAAAGTGGGGTCAAGCTGCCTGCTGTCTCTCATTGTCACAACTCCCGGAGCAATTCGAATAAGCTCACTGTTACCAGATGCAGCTGTGAATACAGAAGGCTCAATTTTAGCAGAAGGACTGAAGTCGGTCTCTGTGCTATGCTTTCTTAAAAGTGGTGTTTCCCTGGCTCTTTGATCATGTTGTTGACTACTAGATGCAGTTCCTAGGGAATGACCCTTTCCTTGAAATGCAGTTATGTTATGTAGTTGTTCAGATTTCTTTTTCACCACTCCACCACTACCCAGCTTCAGCATTCCATGTGAAGGACTTGCTTCTCTGCTTCTTGAAGTAGCTTCTGCTCGCACTTGACTTAAGGCCTCTTTAACCAGCTCTTCAACATCAGGACCGATTGGGAAGTGCCCAGCAGCATCCACACACAGCTCTAATCTGTCTTCTGCTGCATTGTACACAAAGTTTTTACCAGGCAGATGTGGAAAAGTGCAGTGCTTGCCATCAGCCAAACCTATGAAGACAGAAAAAGTTATTCAAAACACTAACATGTTTTAAAGCATGCTCTGAACACACCGTAATAGTAACTAATGTATTTAAATTTACTGAATCAAGTATGTAAAATCAAGCACACTGAAAGTTTCTACTGTGGGAGAAAAAATTTAGGCTTTTATGCCATACGATAGTAACTACAGTATGCTGCAAAGATTCTACTGCCTTCTGTGATGACTCTGATGAAGAGACAATACTGTAATATTACAAGATAAAATAACCACCTCGCTATGACTTGTAGTTCTATGCTTCCAGTAATGTAAAACAAGCCAAATCCCATCACTACCACCACCCCACACCCTCCAAAACCACACAAAACTAAATCAGCAAAAATCAAAAACTGACAATGAGCACATTTCAAAACACTATCTGGAGAGAAATACTATTTAGAACTGTACTAGAACAGAACTGTATATAGTAGTTAGAACTGTAGCAGAATTTCAGGTTGCGTAACTGCTGCTAAGCCTGAAGAATTTCAAATTCACTGTTTTGTCTTCTCAGAGAGGAAGTGTTGCTAGATAAACAGAAGTATTTCAAGCTTATTATATTTAGTAGTCCTGGAGATTATAACTATTAGCCTTTACAAAACAAACATAAGGCATAATATTTTTGATCTGCTGTTCATTTCATTGTCCCACTTATCTGTTTGACCAATCTGTTAAAACTGAGAGTTCACGAAAAGATTTTAAGTTCTGAAACTTCTGTGTCAAAAATGGACAACATTTTTTACAGTTTTTAACACAAAATAACCCTTTCAATTCTGTCCCATGCAGGCTGCAGCAAAAGCAGTAAGGTATCACTTCAATGATGGTGGCTTTCAGTGAGTTAAAAGCTATTTGCAGATGAAAACTTGGCTGCAACCATTCTCTTCACTTTAGTTCCATCAACTATGCATGGAGAGCTACAATGAAAACAACACTGTTTAAAAGGTGCCAGGAATAGGTAGAATACTGGGATTTTCCTCACATTCTCAAAATTCTTGAAGAAAACCACCAGAAATTATTCAGAAGGGAAAAAACATAACAAGCAAATACTATGTTATCAAATACCATGCTTTCAAAATGAGTATTCTGGGCATCAATGAAAAAGATCATTCAATAATTTGATACATTACACTGTTTTCATATTAATGAACTGATTGACCAATCTCACTCATCCTCCACAGCTTCTGATTCACATGTGCACAATTACATAGAATCTACAAATAAGATTTGATTCTGAGAGCTTCAGACGTAGCTCCTTTCTTTACATATCCATGGGAGCCAATAACCAAACAGACAAAACACAAGACAAAATTCAACCTCAAACCTTCAAACTTAGCCTGAAGCACATATTTTAAGTACATATCAACTCTCATTTGCAAAAGAGGGAACTGTAATAATTCCTATGACTGAATAAAACTGGCTCTGAAACTGCAATCCCAAAATCTCAAAGTAAAATCTTAAACAAGATCTATTAAATCAAACTTAAATTGATTAACAGTACCTACACTCCACAGAAAGCTTTGTTCCAAAGGTCCAGTATAGTAGTGCATAATTACATTACCTAAAAGATTACAAATAGGTAAAGAGCTTCTCATAGTGGAAAGATGAGTCAGACTGCTGCACACTGGAACTGTAAAAGCGTGTAAACACTGAAATAGTAATTACATCTACCAAGACAGTCAGTATTTGAAATTAGTGCACTTCTTTGTATGCAGGTGGTTTACACTATCATCTCCCATAGCCTATTTCTTACACAGTCAGTTGGGAAAATGGCTTTTTAGCCAGACATTTTCTGTGAGTTTGGTTAAAAGTCCTTGGATTCATTTCAGGTTTTCAAGTCTGGCTAGCCATTAATTGGTCAAAAATGCTCTTTCCATCAGGCACGGTTTAAGCTGATACACTAGACACAAACAATATGCCAGTCTTTACTGTACAAGCACAGTAAAAGAAGGAAAACTAGAAGGAAACACATCTCCTATAAAACACTTACATGCTAACTCTATCACGCAGGCTAGTAATTCAATGAGAGGTAGTGGGCATTGAGTATGCCACACATTTTAATAAACTTCCAGAAACAACTAAGATAAAGTTATGTTTGATAAAACTGCCTAAGAAAAAATCAAACAGCAAGAAAGCAGCAAAGGAACGATTATAATACATGAAACCACAAGAGCTAAACTATGAATGCAAAGATTTCATCAAGAAATTGATGAAATTTCTTTGAGAGAAAATAACTCCTCAGTACTTTCTTCTCTAATGAAACAGTTGTTATTCTTCACAGGCAGTATTTGTAAAGCCACCTAAAAATCAAATGTATTTTACTTGTTTGGTTATTCTGCACAAAGCCCAAGATGCGACATTCAGTAACACAGGAAGGGGATGGAGAGCTTTGCTTTTGAACAATAATCTTAGGAATATGAAAAAAATTAACCAACTGTTTAAATGTAAAACATGCACTATCCTGTAAAAATATCAACTAAGAAGCACACTAGAAAGATCTCTCTTTATCCAGTAAGTGTTTTAAACTATAACAGGAATAGGTCCTGTGATTTTTTTGTTGTTTGATCTTTACAGGAGAAAAAAATTAAGAAAACAAAAAATCAGTTGACTTTTTTTGGTCATATTCTCATTTAAAAAGAAGAAAAGAAGCAGTTGTTTGTACAATTCGGGAAGCAGAAAATTCAGAAAATAAGGTTTACACGCAGTGTAGTAGGTTTAGGCAGATTCCCTAGTTCTAGTCTGTCTGAGGGAGCATTAGGAGCTCTCCAATATTGTAAGAATGAAAATTTACCATAGTAATAGAATTAAAAATATATATTTATGCTTCCAAGTGACTCAATACTAATTTACAATTTTCAGGATTTGAAAACAGAGGACGGAAGGAATAAAAACAAAACTAAAAAAATACCTGTTGTTTTCTTCATTATGCTGTAGAATACTCCACCCTGCTGAAACAACTGAGGAAGCCCCTTCGCATACGACCAAACATCTTCTCCTGCAAAAATTAAACATGATCATTAAAATTAAACAGTTGCACCTTTATATTACAGACAACGGCTGAAAATGTAACTCCTTAAATCAAAAGCTGAGTCCCCACTCTCTTCTATGCTATTAAGAATTTGAATTTTTATTGAAAATGCAGAGAACAGAAGTCCAGGACATTAAGAAACTTTCAGAAAAACATACCACTGTCTGCAGTCCAGTATCCTACATGTTTCTGTATAAAGGTTCCCAAATTTGATTTGATCCCATGTGCAGCTCGTGGTACTTTGCCAGGCCCTAAACACGAGTCTCCATTCCCTTCCTACCTCTGCTTTCAATGTTAAACTAGGAAATTACTAACACCCTTCCAAAATTCAAGCACATATTTTCACTCATTCAAACTTGAATTCTGTATCTCTACACCTTCTCAAAAATCAGAGCTCAATTTCACAGCTGCCACACTGAAGACTTAATACTGCAGCTGAGACACAAACATCCACCCAGGCAGCTGCACAGAAGGTCTGTCCGTACCTTGCTTTTCTTGAGAGTTAGAAACAAAATACCAACCAAGAGGCCCCAGCAGTCCTGTATAACCAGCATTTTTCAACAATGGCAAAAATGGCATTGAAATGTGACAACTTTAAATGCCATGGAGAGAAAAAAAAACCCAACCTAGACTACACAAGGAAAGAAATATAAAGAACAGAAAAATTGCATTACAATGATGGAATATCAGTGACCTAACAGCACCTGTTCAATTAGTTCAGCTCCACATTTTGCCTACACCCTTTTCCTTATTTTGCTAACCACTTACCTGCTTCAGAGAAGTGACGTGCTTAGCTGTCTAAGCAGTGCAAACAGAAAGTACTGATAAATTCCATTCTCCTGATGCAGAAATAACTACTGCGCATACACATTTTCTGAAAAAAAGTGGTTTTCCCGCTTTCAAGGAAACATTCAACTCATATTGAGTTATTTCAGATAGAAATTGCCCCTTCCTGCAGGGATTGAAATCTCAATAATCACATGTCTCAAATATCTATTAAGATTGGAGAATATAAATCTTCTACTATAGTTAACTGGATGCACTGATCACTTGGATAGAGATAACTGGAATGTGTGAGGCTTTATAATATTACACACCAATATGTCTTTACTTCCTGTTATAAGGAAAATTAAAGAGCTATTTTTAATAGCTTCTACCTACTGAATATACGGCACATCTAAATCCCTCCTTGCATTTCTTTACTGCATATTGCACAAGGTAACTGTGACTATTCTCCTGTTCCACTCAGGCACATGAGACACAGGACTTCTTAGGCTCCCCTGCTTGTCTGTTTCCTCACAATTGCCACTCACCTCTCCACCTCAGGCATTACTCAAGTCCCCATTCTCTTTCCAGAGGTACAGTGCACATTCACCACATTCTGTCTTTAGACATTTTAAAGACAGGAGACCTGCATAATCTGATTAATTTTGAAAGCATTCCCTCACACCATATAGGCTCAAGTTCATTGCATTCATTTGCACATCAAGCTCATAAATCTGGCTTTCACTTCCAAAAAGAACATCCAAGTAACAAGCCAACTACTCTTCTTACTAATTTTCCATTATCCACTGAAGGAGGTCTTCAGTCACTGCTACCTGTATCCTTATTCTTATTTACGACCTGAAATGCACATCCCTATACACAATGGCTCCAGAGCATCACTTCTGTGCCTCTTCCAAATCTTCTTGATGGTTTAAACACTGCCCACCGGAATCAACATAACCACTGCACTGAGAAATAACACAATACAGCTGTCAATCCACCAAAGCCTGAAGAGGCCACAGCCAGCAGGACTCCATACTAAGGACTCCTTTATTGCTTCAAGCAGTCCATGATTATTTGAAGGGCTCCTTTTCATTTCACAAAACAACCACTGGACTTTTAGAAGAAGCCCAGTTTTAGACATTACTGACATTTTCCAAGGAAAGATCTCCTATTTGCTGTGGGCATAATTTTTCAAGCTTTGCACAAGGGAAGCATCACTGTTTAGATAGCCTTTTATGCAACACTAACAAGGACTACATGCAGGAAAGCATGGAGAGCAGGCCTCGCAATACAAAAGCATCAGCCACTGAAAGAAATACAAATTAATGACACTGTTTTGATAGAGATCTCCCATTGGAAGAACAAAAAAACCTCACAGCTACAACTGGACTTTCCCAGATCAGAGGAACTAGTATGTGTGACTCAACTAAACTACATTTGAGGTTTGCACATTTTTGTTGTCAGTTGAGTTTTACCAGTTGTTTTGGGTTTGTTTGCCATGGCAGCGAGATATTTATAGGTCACAAGGTAATTTGGATGATCATTGAGTTAGATTAAAAACTCCCTCAAGACACTACATTTATCAAAGGGAATATGTTCTGTGCATTGTCCCTATCCAGTACACACTTCCTCAGATTAATCCACAACCCCAGAACACTGAGGTATGGTAACAAATCAAGACTGTCCTACCCACAAACATGCCTTGTTCGCTGGCATAAATTAGCCTGCACCTGCTGTAAGCCCAAGATTGTCACTTCATACAGCAGAGAGAACACACAGAAGTGCAAAACACGTATAAACTCCATTGATAAATATACATTATAGGAAACTACAGCTGGCTTAAAAGCAAACTGTTTAATTCCAAGAAAATCCTGGTATCAAATAATACATTTGATTGAAACCTGGCTATTTTTATTCTTTGTGCATGGATGAATTCATTAATGAAAAACAAACCAATTTAAAACAGATTCATATTTGGCTTGCACGTATTCAGAGTGCCCCTGCATGGGTGCAATTAAATCTGGTTTAAAATATGATGTTTTTAACATTTTAATGTAAAATGCCAATTCAATTAGTAATTTCCCTATAGAATACCATATTTTTAGCTAAACAAAAAAAAAAAAAAAAAAAAAAAAAAGAGAAAAATTTACAAAAAAAAACATGCATAATATGTTAAGTA